ACCAGCATGGAAGCCGCTGAAAACGCTGGAGCTTTTGCGGTCCGGGGCTATCCCCAAAGAGGTAACCCCTACCGCTAGCTGATCTTTTCGGGTTCTCAGAGTCTCAAGCCTCCCGAACAAGCCTCTCATAATATAATTTAAAGTTGTTACTCGCGGTTTTATTTGCATTTTTCATCGGGTAGTTTAGAGTGGACGGAGCCTCGCAGCCATCTTAGTCTCGCACATGCGCAATTCTTAGTCTCGCACATGCGCAATTCGACCCTGAGTATAACAAGAACAATGGACTCAAACAATACTGTCCATCAGTGCCAGTCCATACATGAAATGCCAGAATAGCAGGCTCAATAAATACACGAATGTCCCATTAGTTACTCCAGCCTGTCTGCAACCTCCCTCCTGAAGAGGGCGCCAAACGCTGCGCTGGATTGCTGGTGGGACCTCCGGGACGGAGCAGGCATCGAGAGAGGGGCAGGCGGCGCTAGAGCAACTTCGAGCAAAGAATGGGCGGAAAGAAGGGAAGCCAGTGGAGGAGGGAGACAAATCCATATAAATAGTAGATAGCTGCTTGGATATCAAACTTCCGGGTACACCTACCGGGAACAGTTCAGAGAAACTGCATTTCCTGACGTGTTGAATAGTGTTCCAAATTGAGGACGGCAGCAAATCCCAATTTTAAAGGAAGGTTTAATTAAGTTTTCCTGCACGTTGCAGAGTAAATTATCCTTGTGGTCCCTTCCAGCACCACCACCATGTTCTGATCCCAGATGCACCTGGTGGGTCCCCAATAACTAAGCAGGGTCAGGTTAAGTATTTCCCTGGAAGGGACGGTACGAGGAAAACCCGGGGCGGGTCCCAGAATATTTAGAATGATTTAAGGCCTGAGGAATGCAACGTCTTCTTTCCCGCCGTGAGGTGCCTGGCGGGAGGCCTTGGGCAGAGCAACCAGGAATTGCTGCCTTATTGACACTCCCGGCAAATCTCGAGACTTTCCCATTGAGCCTTTTTGGCAGGGCGCTCGAGAGAGAAAAAAAAAATCAGCGAGGAGGCCGGAAGTGACTCGGCCGCGCCCTTCTTTCGGGGCGTGGATGTTTGACCCTGCCGCCCCGCGCGGGGGCGGCGCTCTAGGCTTCCATCTTTGTGCGGGCTAGGGGCGGTTGCTAGGCGGCGCGCGGGGCCTAGTAGGCCGCAGGAGCGGCGGGGCGGCGTGGCCGTCCGGCAGCCGCATCGAGTTGGGCTGTGCGGCGTCATGGCGGCTTCGCCTCCGTCGGAGTCGCGTAGCGCGGAGGGCCCGGGAAGCTGCGTCCTGTGCTGCGGCGAGCTGGAGGTGGTGGCCTTGGGCCGCTGCGAGCACCCCATCTGCTACCGGTGCTCCGTGCGGATGCGAGCGCTGTGCGGGGTCCGCTACTGCGCCGTCTGCCGAGAGGAGCTGGCCCAGGTGAGCGGCGCCCGACGGGGAGGGGCGGCGGAGGGCGGGACCGGCAACCGCCAGGCCGACCACGGCTCGCAGGGCCTCGGCAGGGGAGCGCAGGGCGCCGGGGCCGTCACCCGGGGCCAGGAGCTGGCTGGGGCGGAGAGCCGCCTCCTCTGGGCGCAGGTTACCCGGCGGGCGAACGGCGGGGCCCCTCGGGGCTGGCGGTGGTTTGGATGAGCTTCGGCGAGCCGAGCGGCGCCCCCGGGCTAAAGGGCCTCCTCGGCTGGCCCTGATTGCCACCCTGGGGTTGGCCTTGAGGCGGAGGCTGCTGCCGTGGCAGGGCCGCCCTGCCTGGGCACTCGGGGCGGGGGCGGTAGACTTCGGCCCCTGGGAAGGAGGCAGCAAAGCCGGGCCGGCGGTTTAGGAGGGACATCGGCCGGGGCTCCGCCTCCAGCAGGATCCCCGCGCTGCCGCCCAGGGTAAGCCTTTCCCCCCTAAAGCAAGCCTGGCGCCTCTTTCTCTGGCCTCCCCAACGTTAATGGCGGCCCAGTTTCTGCCCGGAGAACTTGGGGTGTTGGCTGCCACTGGGCTCCTGGGTGTCCCCTGGCCAGACCCAGCTAAATGAGACGGCTGTCTGCTGCCCTGCCGTTGCCCTTGGACCTTGTCCTGCTTGTCTCGAAAGTAAGACTTCCACAGCCGTTCAATGGTGGATCTGCTCAAGACCAGCTGGGAGTTGTGCCTTAATTCGTCTTTTGAAATGCTAAAAGAACTTCGTGATCAGATGATGAGAAACCTGTGGATATGATTTCCTTTGATTTCAGCCCAGGGCTTGAATAGCCAGTGACGCTCTGATTAACCAGGTAGGTAAAGGTGGCATTTTGATAGCCTGTTAGGTGGCTGGAAAGGTCTGGTCAGCCGTTCAGATCCAAGTGGAGAGAGGTTTTAAAGGGTGTCCCTGGATTCAGCCCCGGGACTGGGGCTCTTCAATGTTTCCATTAATTGCTGCCCAATTTTCATCAGTTGAAGAGTGAGGAGAAGCTTGTTAAACGAGTAGATGATACAAAGCTGAGTGGGATAGCCATAGACAACAGAAACACAGCTCGAAAGGATAAGTTAGAGATGTGGGTTGAAAACACCAGTGAACATTAATGGACAAATATAAATACTTTATTTACAAAGACAAAATCAAAGACACGTAGCATAGGAAATATTTAATCTATCTGATCAATGTTGTAATTGTTTTAGCTAATATTATGACATTTGCTTCTCTAAATAAATAAAGAATAATTTGTATTCTTTTCCTGTACTCTTATCTTTTCTAAAGCAGCCTTTTTGCTTAGATGTGATAAACTACAGTCCTTGCTAGGCAAGCTGGGAATTGCCATCTAGCCCATTTAAATGGGACTGAAGTGGAGGGAGGAGGCCGTGTTAATTGCCCTGGCTGTTATTCCAGTCCAACTTTCTCTAATCATCTCATCCTTGTCACCCTCCTACTCACAAAATTAAACTTTCCCTTATGAGAATTGGACTTCAAAAGATTTCTGTTAGTGCTCATAGGAATTTTAACATCTGAGACCTACAAATTACGGTTGTCAGATTATGCAGGGAATTTTTTTAAAAGTCTTCTCTACTTAATTCTATAATTGCTGAATGTTTCGAATATTGACATGGGATTTGGCACACACCACGTCAGGTGTGCTGCTCTACTGGCCTTGGGGCCCTCGCCCTGGCCCTGAGTGAGTGTCAACAGTTGACTCTGTTTAATTAGGGCTGCTGGAATTCAACAGGATGACACTGTTTTGTGTCATACTGAGGGGTCAGTTTCCCGACTTGATCCCTCTCTAAGCAACTGAATCTTTTCTTCTGCACTAAAAGCCCCTATACAGCCTCTCCTTGTTCAGTGGCTACGTCCTTTACCACCATTCACAAATACAATGGTATTTTTTTAAAATCATTTTCTGAGTCATGGGTGCATTTATGCCCAAATTTCTGCACACCTGATGAATACACACACAAAAAGGAATGAGAGTAACATTGATACTGCTCATTAGAGAACTTAAATGGAATGGCAACAATCAGTGATTTTCAGTCTCACGCTCAGATTTCCCACACTCTGTTTCGCTTTTTCTTCTGTGTTTGCTTAGCAACCATTTCGCTGCCAATTTAAGGACCAGATTTCAGTCACTAAACAAAACAAGAATAAGAAGTCCTTGCCAGCCCCAGTGCAGAACCAGCCTTTTCCTTGATATTCCTGGGATATTTGGGAAGCTGCTTGATACTGTAGTTATTTTAGCAAAGAACTATGAACATGAATGGAATAAACGGCAGTGGGCTTCTAGCTAGAGATAGCTATAGCAGTAGCACTTATATACTGCTTCACAGTGCTTTACAGCTCTCTCTAAGCAGTTTACAGAGTCAGCATATTGCCCCCAACAATTTTGGGGTCCTCATTTTACCGACTTTGGAAGGACAGAAGGCTGAATCAACCTTGAGGCTGGTGAGATTCAAATTGCCAAATTGCAGGCAGCTGGCAGGTAGCAGAAATAGCCTGCAGTACTGCACTCTAACCACTGCGCCACTAAGGCTTATAATAAGTTAAGGCTCAGACCCATCCTTGCCCACTGTAACTTGCAGAGAGTCTTCAGAGACTTTCTCCCTGTTTGTTCCTCCTCCCTGCTACTAGGGAGTGCTGGGGTTAGGCTTGAGATCTCTTACATAGCAGTCAGGTTCTGCTGCTGAACCGCTGCATCTTTAAGGAAGAGAAAAAATGAGGGAGCATCGTGTGCAGCCTCTGGACCGCTCATGCTGGTGGGTTGAAGGATGAGTTCCTTTCAGTCTTTCTGTGTCTCTTTAGGTGGAGAGGGTCTGTTTTGTGTGGGCTCCATAATTTCTGACCTGAGAAGTACTGTATGCAAAAGACGCTCAGTCATTATGAATGGTGGGTGCCCTTGGCTTGTGGTCCCCGTTTTTCTAGAAAAAGTTTTCTCCCCTCTGTAGCTTCTTTTGCTCCTGATTATTTTCCTCCTGTCATCTTCTATGACTGTTTAACTGTTTATTAAATTTATGGGCCGCCCAATCCCAAAGGACTCCGGGCGGCTTACAGAAANAAAATGGAATGTGAAAATGAATAAAATATTTAAAAAAAAAAAAAAAGATCATCAATCCTGTTTCTGTTCGGCTGCAACTGCCTAAACACCATAACCGGGTTTACCCTGTTTTTCATGTTAACCTCATAAAGCCTGTTTGCACTTCATCGGGATGCCAAGGGGAGGGGAATGAATTATACAATATATTATTCACTTTCGCGCCTAATTAACCAGACTTAACTTAGCTTCACATCTGTTCATTTATAATTAGTAAAAGTACACTTGATTTCAACAAATGGAGTCCAGTGATTTTCTTTCCTGATTACTGAATGAAGAAAGGCTGACAGAACTAGAATGACCACAGTTGTCTGACCTGGTAGAAGGCTAATTCTTAGCAATTCTAACAACAACAATTAAAAAAAAAACATTTCCCAAGGGAAAATAACATGGGAGAAAAAAAACAATTCAATAGTACATCAAAGTATCAGTAACTGAAAGCTCACCAGATGTTAAAGATGTCCTAGAAATCGCCACAGAAGGTGTTCCAGAACTTTTTCTATGATGCCGTTTTGACAACTCTGCAGGGATACTTTCACTGATAGGCATAACAATGTTGTTTTCTATTTCAGAATCCTGCTCACATAAAACAACATATATTTCATGTGTCACACATATAAGAAAACTCTTTAACATATGAAAACACACTAGTTACAGTCTAGGAAGCAAATGCCCACCCAAATTCAAGCCAATAATTCTAACTTTTCATTGTTTGTTCAAATATTTCAGAATTTACTTTAAGCATGATTTGTTGAACATAAGAAATAAGCCAGAAGCAATTTTAGGAGTATACACAAATATATTAAGACTAGCAATCCAATCTCAATTTGTTTTCTCTACCATGTCTTTGTCCAATACTTAAAAGGCTGGAGCAAAACAAGTAAACCTGGATTCTAGATTTGCCCCTATGAAGCAATTACTTATCAAACCAATCCATTTTTGCACCAGTCAACATACCCTGCTGTAGTCAATAGTCATGCTGCGTGCACTCAGTGCTGGTGACCTTGGATAGAGTGGAGTAGAAGCATTGCTTTGATTTTTCATGTTGCCAGTTATGTGTCCAAGAAGATGACTATCTGAGGGAAAGGTGTTTCCCCTGGAGAAATTGCACTAAATTAACCTTCTAATTTATGTTGATACAGCATAAATTAAAAAATGAAAAACTACATATCAGAAATGATGTTCCATCAGAAATTTGAATCTCAGACAAATACTTTAGTAGCATGTGGACATTTTAATATTTCATCACCTGAATAGCAGTCCTAACACCATTTTGCTGATCTACCTCTATCCAAAACCAAAGAGAACAAGCTCATAAAAACTTGCAATGTAGCATCTTACATATCTTACAAAGTGCAGTATCCATGGTTAGGCAAAAAATAAAAATTAAATTAGAATAAAGAAAAACTAGTTTCTAAAGTCACATACTAGACACTTGTAGAAAATCTTGGGAACTGTTTTTAACAAAGCCTTGCTCACTGCTACTGTGTTTTCCCGAAAATAAGACAGGGTCTTATTTTCTTTTGACCCACAAAATATGGCTTGGATCTTATTATCAGGGGAGGGCTTATTGTATTGGGGTTGCCAGGCGGCTGCTCTCTTGCAAGCAGGCTCCCAAAGAATGGTGAATGGCTGTGTTGCACTGTTGCAGCTGCGCAACACAGCAGCCATGAAGCAACCAAGCTCATGAGCAGCCACCTGACAAACCCCCTTTCCAGCCAGGCACAGTGCCATTCACTGACCTAGGGGTATCGCCAACCGCATGAGTGCCTGTTCGCCACCTCCTGGCTACCACGGCTTGGCACCTTCTAAATGCCAGTGAATGGCACTCTGCATGGCTGGAGAGGGGGGTTGCACAAGTGGCTGTTCTGCTCATGCTCACACGCCTCCCAGCCACACTCTGGGCATACCCTCTATGGTTGTGGAACGGCTGCCGGCAGAGCATACTCACAGAGTATACAACCATAGAGCATATGCCCAGAGCGGCCACTGCTGGAAGACTTGGTTTGGAAGCAGCCGAAAAAGCCATGCTGGGATGGCGGCAGTGGTGGTGGGTGGCGGCGGCAGTGGAGGTGCCCTGGCTCTGCAGGGAGAGTGGGCAAGGGCATCGTGAGGCTTGGAGTCACTGGAACACCCTCTCCAGCTGTGCAGAGCGCCATTCACTGACATTTTGAAGGCGCCAAGCCATGGGAGCCAGGTGGCAGCAAATAGGTGCTCACTCAGTTGGCGATACCCCTAGGTCAGTGAATGGGGCTATGTCCGGCTGGAAAGGGGGTTTGATGGGTGCTGCTCATGAGCATGGTCGCTTCATGGCTGCTGTATTGCGCTGCTGTGATAGCAGAATACAGCTGTTCACCCCTGAGGATGTGCCTGGCTCTTTGGGAGCCCACTCGCAAGAGAACAGCCTGGCAATCCCCTTCTCCAGCTGGGCACAGCGCCACTCACCAACCTAGCAGTATCCCAAAGGTGCCAAGCAACCTGAGCGTCTTTGACATTCCCATGGCTTGGCACCTTCGGGATACCGCTAGGTTGGTGAGCGGTGCTCTGCCTGGCCAGAGGGGGACTGTGCAGGGGGCTTATTTTCAGGGGAGGGCTTATATTTTTGCCCACCTGAAAAATGTGGCATGGCCTTATTTTCAGGACATGCCATATTTTCAGGGAAACATGGTAGTTATTACTTTACTCGTTTCTAGATCTTGGCAGATCTGTTTTTTTAAAATCTTTAAAAAAATTGATTGATCTGTTGTTTCCTGGGTCTGTTTTTTTCTCCTTTTTGAAGATGGAAACCACCTCTTTTCCAGTCCTCTGGTAGTTCCCCAGTGTTCTAGGATTTTTGAAAGATGGGTACAGTGGGTACAGTGGTTTTGAGATGGCATTTACCAGCTCCTTTAGAACTCTGGGATGTAATCGGTCAGGTCCCAGTGATTTGTATTCATCAAGATCAGACAGGTGTTCTCTTACTAATTTTATTTATTTATTTTAACTTTCATTTACAGTTATATTTTTGGTAGGTTGGGCTATAATTTATTTTTGTGAGAAGACCCTCTCTGAGGGGAGCAAATTTTCTCCTCCCAGGCTTAAGGACAGACTAGGTGGGCTGTCCTTAGGGGGCAACATCCACAGCCATTCGGTCTTGTCAGGATTGAGTGCGAGTTTGTTCACTCCCATCCAGACTCTAACAGCTTCCAAGCACTGGCACATCAATTCCACCGCTACACTGAGTTGACACGGGGCAGACAGATACAACTGAGTGTCGTCCGCGTACTGGTGGTATTTAATCCAGTGCCAGCGAATGATCTCACATGGCTTCATGTAGATATTAAATAGGAGGGGGGACAAGACCGACCCCTGCGGCACCCCATAATTGAGGGGCCTAGGAGTCAACCTCTGTCCTCCAACCAACACCGACTGCGACCTGTCGGAGAGGTAAGAGGAGAACCACTGTAAAACGGTGCCTCCCACTCCCACCTCTTCCAGCCGTCGCAGAAGGATACCATGGTCGATGGTATCAAAGGCCGCTGAGAGGTCAAGGAGCACAAGGATAGAGGAATGACCTCTATCCCTGGCCCGCCAGAGATCATCAGTCAGTGTGACCAAAGTGGTTTCGGTGCAGTAACCAGGCCTGAAACCAGACTGAAAAGGGTCTAGATAATCTGCTTCATCCAAGGTTCGTCGGACAGAAGCATTTGATGATGCTACTTTTCTATAGGTCTGCATGTTTTATTCCAGGGAGAGTCCATGAAATCGATTGCTTAGCATCAATGGGGCTGCATCAGAGTGGGTTGAGTTGGACAGGGGTTTTGTACTAGGTTTTTTTTTCTATGAGTGACATGTTTCTGTCTCTCTTCGTTTTCCTCTAAGGGGTGAATTCTTTTAGAAGTTGTTTGATAATTATTATGTTCAATGTGGGCATATTCTTCTGGCAAGGTTTGGGGTTTCTCATTTTTAGGTTGAGTTTCAGAGTGGTTAGAGTTTCCTCTAAACCCTTTACTTTTTCTTCTAGTAACTTGATTAGTTTACATTTAGTACATATATAGTTTGGGTATTCTGTGGGCATAAATGTATACATGGAACACTTTTTGCAGATCACAATCAGTTTTCTTTTCTATGACTGGATTTAAAAAAATGAAAATGAAAGTATAGAAGGCTTTACCACAGATTTTTAAAAGGGAAAAAAGTCCAATTTAGAATTTTGATATTCTAACAGATCATTCTAAATTTCAAATTTGGGGGGGGGGGGGAAGTCTAACGAAAAATTTAAAGTTCTAATAGTTAAAAATGTCTAGTTTAAGGATTTAAAGTTCTATAGTTCAAAATTTTCTAGTTTAAAATTTTAAAGTTCCAGCAGATCATTTAAATTGTCCAATTTTAAAATTGTTAGTGTTGAGTGGGCTTATGTGCAAGCCTGTAATGGAATATTCTCTCATTATTCCTTTTCTCCCTCCCTTCTTTTGATACTTTCCCTCTCTGTCTTCTTGTGGATTTTATTTATCTCTTTCTTCTCTGCCTTCATATGTTCTGTACTTGCTATTTACTACTCATCTTTGATGAGGTTTGCTCATAGGGTCGTTTTTTGCCCTCTGGAACCTTCAGGGAAATCTCCAGAAGGCTCCTGAACACTCCAGAGGGCTAAAAACGACCCTATGAGCAAACTGGAAGTACGAGCAAACCAGAAGTAGAAATGGCCTCAAAAGAAGGTGTGCTGGCCAGCTGATAGGGCAACGCATTGCATGCCCTGACAAATGTCTCCGTGTGCCACCTGTGGCACGCGTGCCATAGATTCGCCATCACGGGTTTATGCTGTATGCTTTACTCAGACTCTTAATATAATACTGAGTGAAAGATCATAAGTACACAAAATATCTCAGAATCCATTTTCTTTACATCTTATTAAAGTATCTGTATCTTTGCTCTCATAGTTACGTTTTCTTGCTACCTATGATTTCAAGATTTAATTGCGGGTATCTCAGTATAAGTATGACCATTATTGCCAACATGGAAGAATAAGATTAATTTTTTTCCCAAAGCGTGAACTTCAAAACTTGTATATCAGCCAATTGGAAGAAACTATTTGTAAACTGAACAGTTTATATGACAAAAATGAGAAATGCTAGATGAGAAGAAGTTAGTGTTTATATTACTGAAATCACTTTTAAAGTAAAATTTTACTTTCAGTCATGTAAATAAAATGAAGATTACTATACATTTTTATGGAAAAGATTTAAATGCTTATAACTGAAGATTTGTAACAATTTTTCATTCATAATAAAATAAAACTTTACTTTGTATTTTGGAATTATAGGAATATTTTACCACTTGATGAAAGGATACTTTACCCTATTTTCCTAGGCTCAGTGAGAACTAATTTTGTCCCACTTGTAAATGAAGCTAACATATCTTGCTTTGATGTATCCTCTAAGGTTTTTGGAGAATGATCTTTGAATCTGCCTTCTAAGAGTTCAGGGGAAGAATCTTAAAATGAAAGAAACAGATTATTAACAAAATGCCTACAAGCTGAAGAAATATATTAAGAGTCTTAAGACAGTTATTTCACAAATCTACATATTCACTGAATAAGCTAGGACACTGAAAGCAAAAGCATTCATAATTTGATATGTTTTTATTAGATATAGAGATAGATATATACCATGTTTCTGGTTTATGTATGTTGTAATATTTTGACCAACTAACATAAATGAAAAAGTAGGGGCTGGGGCTGGGAAATAATTGCAAGAAAAGTGAACTATAGAGTTTAGGTACTGACCTACTCCCCATAGAATCATTTTATCATATGTCTATCAATAGAAGGCCAGAAAGAGGCAGAGAGTAGGTAGGAATATATAATAGTGTGTGTGTGTGTGTGTGTGTGTGTGTGTGTGTGTGTGTGTGTGTGCGCGCGCGCGCGCGCGCGCACACACACACACACACATATAATCCCAAGCCATTTAAACTTTAAACACAGTGGTGGGATTCAAATAAGTTAACACCGGTTTGCCCAGGATCAGGTTGGCTGTTGTGCAGTGGTGAAATTCATTTTTTTTAACTACTGGTTCTGTGGGCATGGCTTGGTGACCGTGACAGGGGAAGGATACTGCAAAATCCCCATTCTCAGGGGAAGGATATTACAAAAATCTCCATTCCCACCCCACTCTGGGGCCAGCCAAAGGTTGTATTTGATGGTTGTCTGAACTACTCAGAATTTCCACTACCTGTTCTCCAGAACCTGTCATAACCTGCTGAATTTCACCCCTGCTGTTGTGGGAGGTATGGCCCATCCCTGTCCTCCAGCTCTGCTTACATGCGGAAAGAGCCTCCCGTGTTAGCCAACCTGACCCTGGGCAAACCGGTTGCTAAATTTCCACCCTTTGCCAAAAGACTGTTTCTTAGGGTGCTTGTCTGCATGTTGGTCTTATGGCTGTTTCAGTCTTCTGGATGGGGCTCTTTTAAGAAGTGAGGTTTCCGAGGAAGGAGGAGGGGGTTACCATAGAGACAAGGAGTTGATGCTCCCGAGAGCTTGTGTGGGAAGATGAAGAATTTGGGGTGGTGGGAGGGATTCCCACTCCCCATGGAGCTGTGTGGAGGAGGTGTTGGTCAGTCTGCAGGCAAAAGTGAGAGGGGCAAGGAATTAAGTTGACAGCATGATTGAAGCTGGGCCCAATGTAGGGAAGACTGTAGCGTTAGTTTGCAGGCAAATTATTACCCACCCCTGGCTATCAAAGTGGATCTTGGTTTGGTTTGGTTTATTGGATTTATATGCTGCCCTTCTCCCAAGGACTCAGGGTGGCGTACAACATTAAAAAAACACATCTTGGGCACTGTGCTGTGCTACAATGGAGAAATGGACAACAGAACGGCTGGCACGAGGGGAGGAGGAAGAGCAGGGAGAAGAAAGAGGGAACGTGGCCTTCTCCTTTCCTCATGCTGGCCATTCCATTGCCCATTTCTCCATTGCAGCTCTGTGCAGTGCTCAGGATCCACTTTGATAACAAGGGGTGGGTGGTGGATAATTTAACAACTGGTTTGCCTGAACCGATGTTAACTGGCTGAATCCCACCACTGTTTAAACATTATTGACAAATATGTTGTGCTAGACCGAAAAGTTAATCAGAAATCAAAGAGAAGTTAAGCATGCTTCATGTAACACAGGAAGAATATAATCATTGATAAATATTTATTTTTGGTACCAATAGCTCTATGTGATTATTTTAATGTAGACTTATTCAATCTGATGTCTTCCAGATACTTTAAAGCTACACCTTGCAGAATTCCCAGGCAATTCCAGTTGGGAATTATAGTCCCAACACATCTTGAACACATCAGATTGGGTAAAGATACTGCAATGTATATAAGAAACTATATTGTATGGATAACTTTATAAAGTGTACGGTCTTTGGTGAAATCTTCCTGGGTAAATGACATCAAAGAGTCTTACCATGTAAGATAGAAAGTTAGCTCATTCTATATTAAGCCTGACTATATAATTTGTTTTGACTGGCATCAGTTTTCCAAGATGTTGTGAAATATCTTCCCAGGTCTACATTTGCAATGTTATATAGTACTTGGTTTGAAGCATCTTATTTTTAACAATAACCTGATGAGATAAGAGACTAGCATTTATTGTAGCGTACTGAACTAATAATGTATTTGGAACTCTGTAGATTAACTATGCTGCAAAAATGCAAAGAATAATTCAGAAAGCAGCAATACTTTAAACAGTTTGGGGCAGCTGTGGTCCTCCAAAGTTGCTCAATTATTCTCCCCGTATGCAATTTCCCACTGGCCATACAAGTTGGAGCTGTTGAGAGCCTGTAATTCAGCAAAGCCACCATATGTTTATTTGGAAGTACATAGTTTGCTTTCCTATTTTTTACCTGGAGCTTTGCGAAGAATAGACTGTCGAACAATATCAGTTCCAAGGAGCTTGGACTGCTTGAAGCGTTTTGCTCTCTCTTCAAAGAACCATTCACCTGTTACTACCCTAAGCTGCCTGTATTAAAAAAGAAAGCAATGAAATCACTCTAACCATTAGTTGACATTAACAGAATAACAGAGTTGGAAGGGACCTTGGAAGTCTTCTAGTTCAACCCCTGCTCAAGCAGGAGATCCTATACCAATGTAGGGAAGTGACTGTCCAGCATCTTCTTAAAAGCCTCCAGTGATGGAACACCCACAACTTCTGAAGTCAAGCCATTCTAATGGGTAAGTCTTCTTACTGTTAGGATATCCACTTAGTCCTCTGGTTAACTCACCCATCCAAGACATTTTTGAATATTGCTTTAGAAATTACTAAGACAATCCCCCAATTTTTTGAAACAATACATCAAAATTTGTGTCATTCATTACACTAAACTACAATGTTTCATTACACTAAACTACAATTACACTAAACTACAATGTTACAAATCCACTTTAAGAGGTCATTAGTATACTTGTTAATTATATGTAAATTATATGCATAAGTATATGCAAATATATGCGATTAATACTTAGAGTAAATAAAGGAAAGGATGTAGAAGAGTAGGCAGAGCTGGGAGTTAAACATGTTATCATCTTAGAGTCTTTACGCTGCTACCAATGATCCAAGTTTAGCCCCCCCCCCCCTTGAATTCTTTTAATCCTTATCTAGTGCCAATGTAGTGCTGTCTGTTAGTTGACTAGATTCTTGTTTATTGGCTTCAATAAATCTTCTGTGCTGCAACTTAATGTATGGTCCTTATCCTTTGTAGTGTGGAGCCTTCTTGGAACTGTTGAAATACAGTCCGTTCAATGGTTCCGAGTAGGCTCCACACCAATTTGCACCACTCAGATGACCCTGAGGACACAGATAAACTTCCAGGTAACCTTAAGAACCCACTAAAAGAATGCAAATGACTAGCTGTCTGCAAGGAGTATAAATCCTTCCATTCCCCACCATCCAGTCAGAGCTGAAGAAGCTTCTTGGATGAGAAGCAAATTGTCTTCATAGGAAAAAAAACCAGAAAGTCTAGTTGCATCTTGAAAAAAGCACTTTTGGGACAAAACTTTGCTGGTATGTTTCAGTCACCAGCATCACCAGCGTGTGCAAGTGGGACTGCCAATGCTGGCACCCGCTGCTCACACACACACAACAGCCCACCTCTCACAGTTGCAAATAGGCCATGGCCCAGTAGTAGGCCATGACCCACAGGTTTGGAACCTCTGGTCTTATAAGAATCCCTCAGATATATATCAGTTCCTCATCTATTGCCTGAATTATTAAGGCCCATTGGCCATAGTACTAGTTTTAAGTTTTAGGGATTCTTAGGAAGAAACACTTTCCTCTATCTTGCATCTATGTCCTTTGCTTATTTTTCTATGCTAAAGAAGCGTACAAATCTACAAAGGACAAATGTCAGGTGAAAGGACCCAGAACACTATAAGATGATCAGAGTTGCTTCTTTATTGTTGCCTACCTATTTACAAGAATCTCACCAGATTATTTACATTCTCTTGGGAATAATCAGATAAATACATTCTTCAGAAATTCTTGGAGGTCTCTGTCACTTCCTTTCCTGCAAGGTCTCTAAACCCACCAGTCTTTTCTTCCATCACTCTAACTGGAGATTCCATTACATCAAGTTAGGGATATTCTCTCATCTTTTCTCTTGAATCCCAGCATGCACTTTCAGAAAAATGAGGCAGCAGAATAAATAGCAAGGAGCAGTAGCAACAGAGCCAAGAGGCTGTGCCCACTAATCAGGGGTGGGTTTCAAAAATTGTTCGAACCTACTCTGTGGGCGTGGCCTCCTTTGTGGGAGTGGCTTGCTGCCCATGTGACTGGGTGGGAGTGGCCTGCCACCCATGTGACCTGGTTGGAGTGGCCAAGACGATGTTATTACTAGATATTACTAATTACTAG